TCGGCACCGCGCCGCCACCAGCTGCCGCCAGACAGCTTATGGCGCGCGGCCCCAAGAACGCCTCGCGGAGGCTCGGCACGACCCCGCGCCCCCCCCCCCCAGGGGCGACGGAGCCAAACGGTACTTGGGAGGACGAGGGGGAGGAGGAGGAGAAGGAGGAGCAGGAGGAGGAGAGGAGGAGGAGGAGGAGGAGGAGGAGGAGGAGAAGGAGGAGGAGACGAGGAGGAGGAGGAGGAGGAGAGGAGGAGGAGGAGGAGGAGGAGGGAGGAGGAGGGAGGGAGGAGGAGGAGGAGGAGGAGGAGGAGGAGGAGGAGGAGAGGAGGAGGAGGAAGGAGGAGGAGGAGGAGGAGGAGGAGGAGGAGGAGGAGGAGGAGGAGGAGGAGTGTGCGCGAGGAACCCAGGATGTGAAAGGAGGCCTACGCGTGTGGAGCCCTAAGTGCGCGGCCCTGCATCGGAGTCCTGGCACCGCGTCCCGACCCACGCCCCGATCCACGGCCAAACCAACGCCCGAGCTCAAGCTTCAACCCACGCCTTAACCCTCGCCCACACCCACGTCCAAATCCACGTCGAGACTCAAATCCGCATCCACGTCCAAACCCAGCGACGGCGGCGGCGGAACCCGCGCCCCACACCACGTCCGGACCCAGGCGACAGCCGCCTGACCCTGTCGGTCGGGGTCAGCTCTTTGAAACACCACTGAGTAATTTTGCTCCAGGCGGTCCCCACCCGAGAACGCGAGGCGGGATCCCCACAGAACATCGGCACACTTTTTGGCCTGGCGGCCACGGTACGTGTTCATCATTCGTCGATGACGCGAAGCGGATCCCCAAGGAGCACTGGTACACCTTGGGCCTGGCGGCCGCGGTGTGCAGGGCGTGCGAGGCGGGTTCGGGAGCTCTCACCTCTGAATCTGGCAGCCGCAACCTGTCGGGCGTGGAAAAACACGCAAGAGCAAACACTCTCTGGGAAACGCTGGTGGGCCTTACTCCAGGTTTCGTAATAAAGGGAGGGGGGTCTCATTTCGGGGGGGGGTCTCTTCCAGGCTATCTTGGAGGGCCTGGGGGGGTCTGGGGACGATGTTTTGGAGGGTTCTCCCACGGGGGAGGTCTGAAATGGCTTGTCTTGGAGGGTCCAGACCCCCTCCCTTTTATTACGAAATCTGGAGCACCGTTTCTTGGGCTGTTGCTTCGCAGGCCTCTGCCCAAGATAGGCACCGGAGAGCTCAGAGGAGGCCCCAGCGGGCCTCGGCAAGCCCCCCTTAGTCGAGCTGAGGACCACCCAATCGCCCCAACGGGCGCCAGTGAGAGGGGGCAGGCCCTCTCGGAAGGCGGCGGGGCTTCTCAGAAGCCCTCGCGCCTTCTGGTGATCCTTGCAAGCTTGCTTCGAAGCCGCAGACCCAGAGATCCGATGTCGTGATTTTTTCAATATGGGGTCCCTGGAAGTCTCGACCCATTCCCCAGGACGGGTTTTTCATTCCGAGTCGTTTCTTGACGGTCCCGAGGCCCGGCGAGGGCCCTCAGAAGCCGAAAACGGCGAAAAACCTCCGTCTTGTTTTTTCCCCATATCCTAAGGATTGGGGTTCTTGTTATTACTCTGACGCCTCCCACTGCTCCTCCTTCCTCCCGCTCGCGCCTCCCTCCTTTCAATGATAATCACCAGATAAGACAAGACAAAATAATATACTACAAGATAAGATAAGATATCACAAAACATGATAAGGTAATATAAGATATATGACAAGGTAGGATACTATATAAGATAAGACAGCCTATGGAGTAATAAGATAAGACAAGATATGATGCGATAAGATGAGTTGGTATAAGATAAGCTAAGACAAGATAAGATATTTCAAGATAAGATAAGATAGAGGGTCATAAACGTAAGATAAGATAGGACTCGATAAGATAAGATGAGACTCGCTCTCACTCAGACTCACTCACAGTCACATTCGCTCACACTCACACTCTCTCATGATCACAAAACGCTGCCAGGGGCATCATTTGGGAGCCCCAAGGGGGAGCCACCCTGGCTGATCTCACGAGCCCGTTCGCGCCGATTTTGGTGGGACGCCTCAGCTAGAATTGCCGTTTGGCCTCCCCAACATGTATCTCTTGAGAGCCTCATGGTCACAAAACGCTGCCAGGGGCATCATTTGGGAGCCCCAAGGGGGAGCCACCCTGGCTGATATCACGAGCCCGTTCGCGCCGATTTTGGTGGGACGTCTCAGCTAAAATTGCCGTTTGGCCTCCCCAACATGTCTCTCTTGAGAGCCTCATGGTCACAAAACGCTGCCAGGGGCATCATTTGGGAGCCCCAAGGGGGAGCCACCCTGGCTGATCTCACGAGCCCGTTCGCGCCGATTTTGGTGGGACGTCTCAGCTAGAATTGCCGTTTGGCCTCCCCAACATGTATCTCTTGAGAGCCTCATGGTCACAAAACGCTGCCAGGGGCATCATTTGGGAGCCCCAAGGGGGAGCCACCCTGGCTGATCTCACGAGCC